TATCATCTCATAGCACAAGCTAAGGCAACCTTGCGTTGAATCAAGGTACAGCTAAAAGCTGATCTGGAAGAAATTAACCAGCGATAATCGTGTAGCGTAGTCAGTAAACTGGGCCTATATATGCAATAATAGTATAATAAAATAATAATAATAATAATAATATATAATAATAAATAATAACTTTATTAATGGCGATTAATGATCGAGTTCATCTCCCAATCGCATTCATATATCCCTTTATGTAAGTTTCGCTGTACTCACCCAACCGAGGCACAGCATGCGCGAGTCCACATTTACCACACGTCCCGGGGCGGAGGCTAGTCGGCAAGCTGCACTTGCGTTTCAAAATTCATGATTTCTGGAGGAACCAGACGTCGCCCTGCGATATACAAGAAGCAATGAACCAGTTTTTGGACAGGCTTTTTCGGGCATGCCACACGTACGTTCCAGAGTGAGGCATCACAGAGAACATATTTATGTAGAACGAAGTTTTTTCTGTTTGATAACTTATTAGTTTGACTAGAATATATTAAACGCTCAAAAAAATGAATTTGAAATTATATCTTAATTGTTAAATTATAAATGAAAAAAAAGAACAATTTCTTATGTAACTTAAATTATTTTCTTAATTTTCTCAAAGTATATTTGTATATATTTTGTTTTTTGTTTTTATGTTTAATTAATTTTGTTGGGAATATTTAAAATGTCAAATATTGTGAAAAATATATTTACGTTAATTAATAATAAAAATACTGGAAATTTATAATATTTCATTCACTGTGGAATATCCATTCAAATATAAAAATAAGTTGATAAGTGAGTTTTGGCAACGTAAAAACCGTTTTGCAAAGTCTTCATCATTTAGTTGAAATGTTGTTGCACATTTTAGTGTTTTTACGTGCAGGTTTAGAGAGTTTTACCTATTAAAATATTTATACCGCTTAAATATTTTAGCATCTTATTATAAATTTCCACATGATGATTTGTTAATAAATTGGGTTTACACCATTCACCAAATATTTTCACCAAAAGTGTTGTTGGTAGAGTTTTTGTTCATGCCGTCAGTGGATTAAATCCGACCCAGCAAATGTGGCTAGCTAGTATCGAAAGTTATCAAAAGCAATTGTGAATCTCAAACCTGACAAAAAATCACACATTCTGCTATTAGTAAAGCAAATATTTTTATTTGTTATTAGCCATTGAAAATAACAAAGATGTGAGGACTTTCCTCACGGAAATAACCGTCCTCAAACCAACAACGCCTCCGATGTAATGGTAAACGAATATGCATGTGTTTTCGAAAAATTCTCAATCCGACAGTTGAACAACTCTCTGCAAGACCACTTCTATTAAATTTAGCCAAACCGCCTCTAAACGACCATTTTATTCTTAGTATTCATACAGAGAATCCCTTGTATTGTATGTAAATCCTACCCCTGGTTAAATGGCAAGTTTTCTTAATTTACCCTTTTTAAGAGATCAACTTCCAGGAGAACTGTAAGAATCAGATTTACACCAAATTTGCATGTAGTGAAAATTGAAAATAATGTTATAATACGGGCATCGCGCGGATGTATCTTGTACCAGAACGCTTAAGTCCTCGAGGAAAAACGGGTCGGGGCATCGGCTGAGTTCATTGCTGGTCTTAGTTTCGAATCCCGGCGGTGGCCTTGAATTTTTCTACACTAGCTTAGACAACTAGATCGAATTTAGGCGCTGTCTGGATGACAATTCTAATCGGTCGACTTCTCTGATCGGTAGTTTCGTTGTTTCTCCGATGCAGTACCAGGCGAATGCCGAAGCTAACAAACGGTATGCTAACAAATGGGCCACACGGACCGCGTTGCAATCTTTCCTTTTTTCTTTTCCTTGTCCTATCCTCACCCTTAGTACACACTCTTCTGCTACATGCAACGGCCTACCCACATGCTGTCGGGTCACCAGTCAGGAGCTTAGAAGGCATGTCCCGGCTGGGGCGGTGCCATGCAGGTGGGAGATGCCTGGAAAACTCCGCATGCTTACGGGAAGCTCGAGGTCAGATCTCACCACCCAGCGAGGGAAAATCCACCACTACCCGCGATAAAAAACATGTACTTCACTTACGGGACTAATGATCTTAGCGGTTGACGCGCCGAATCACTAATCGATCGAAGAATCGTGAGTCAAGCCGGAATTTAAGGAATCAATTATTACTCGCACAACTCTTCTTGAATGATGACCTCGCTCCATCTTCTTTGGCCCAAGTAACAGTTGAAGGCAAAAGCTCGCAGCTAGCACTGATGACAATATTTCAAACACATTCACTGGCGCGAAATAGAAACTATTTTCTGTTGAAGACGTGAACTTCTGTCCGTGATTTTCTCCAAAAGTCGAAAGAAATGACCGAAGCAGGTGAAGGTCCATCCCAGGAGATACCTCGAACTCCTGAGAAAGTTGGAACCCAAATTATTGAGAAAGTTGCGAAGGCATGACTGATTCTCCAGAGATTGCCATTGCTTCGTAAAATCTAGTGGCCGATTTCGTAACTAATACTCCACTCTACCCGCATTTCTTCAATCCATCGTTCAAGAAAAGTTGCGCGAGTAATAACAATATAGATGACCGCGGATATGGAACCAAGGCTCGAGTTTTCATTTCTTCTTATGTGACGGTGAATATGAGAGTAACCTGACGTTAATTCTTTGAATTAACTGATCATTTCTTACCTTATCTTCCTGAAAGAGCGTTTGAAATTATAGAGGTCGGAACTCAAGGTTATCGATTTGTCCCCTAACCCGTGGGTGTTTGGCTTGTGTCTGGAATTTGTGCCCCGCGCTTACCCGAGGCCTACAGTTTGATATTTTGTATGTGTGTGTGTGTGTGTGTGTGTGTGTGTGTGTGTGTGTGAAGAAGTGCGATAAAAGTGAGATTGAGGGCTTGTAAGATACAGAAAGTGCCAAATGGCGTATGGAAGTTCGGTACCAGTAGACTACTATGGGGAATATAAACATTGAAAATGATTCATGAATTTATTCTTACCAAGAGAAAGAGATTCATTTTTTAAATCACTTACTAGCATGATAGTAAATATTTCTAAAATAACTTTTACACAAAAGAGACAAAAATAGGCTTCGTCAAATGGTAATATTGTTTTATTGAGTTTAGATCAAGGATAAATAAAAATCTTTTTAAAAAACCTCTCGACTTTTCCTCGGGAATACAATAAATAATTCAACCATTACTATTAGTCAATTTTAAGCAAAATAGTGCCACCAACGAATATACTGTAATTATGCGTATTTCGTCTGTTTTTTGTTTGTGTTGTTTTTAGAGAGGACATCTATTCGCACGTTTTACGCTTCAAACGTTTTTTATTCTCTTGCAATAGTTCTGTGCTGCTGTATCAGAGCTGGCTTATCACTTCTGCGTTCCCCAGTGGGCCAACCGGATGGTAGGTCACTTCGTTGACCTCCCGTTTACTTGAATTTGCAGCTTTATTCGAGCAATTCATAGAAATCCGCCGCAAGAAGCAAAACGGAACTTCGGTCAATCGATCGAAGCTTCCAAGTCCGCATTTTCTAGAACGAATCCTTTCAATAAATTGGACAATTAGTCCTCACCTTCTTCACTTACCTTAATTGCGTCTTTAGTGTTAAGTAGAATTAGCGCCGGGGAATTATCCGTGTCGCGTGGAGGTGCTTCACTCTTCACGTAAAATTTCATTGCATTTCTGAAATATGATCACATTTCATCGGCTTGACACGGCACCTAGTTTCCTTTTTCCCAATCAAACGTTGACAATTTTGTGTTTCTTAGTGGTTATTTTGCTAACATTCAAATTAGAATAAAAAAATAATTTTGAAGTACGTTGCTAATCTATTTTTATAAAGATTGGATACAGAATTTCATAAGAGAAAATACACACATTCAAATTTCGTTGTGTTAAAATGGGACAATTAATACTATATTATGACAATTAATTTGCAATTTGTTCTTTGTTATTTTCATCCACCATCGTATCGAATTTAACGCATGCGTGCTTGTGTCACAACAAGCGAACACACACTCGTTTATAGAGGTAACAATTAATTCATAATTCTGGCAATAAATTAATTAGCAATAAACTCTGTCACAAGTATGTCGTATAAAAAAGACGTATATCAAATAAACAACTAAATAGTGATAATAATTATAAATCAAGATAATTTAAAGTGCCTACTTTCAAGAATAACAGGGTTACCACTTTTTCTAGAACGAATTTCCCTGACTTTTCCTGGTTATCCCGGTCATTTCCTTATTTTTCCATGACAACATATGTTAAGAATTCTTTGTTCGACATTAAAACATTGTTATTGGTTGAGCCCTTTTCACCTTTGCATTCCAATTTCTCTTGGACTAACATTTTGTGATAGAGACACAGGCAATTTATTTCAAAACGCACAGTACCTTTCTTTATCTATTTTTCGGCTCTTGGATTGCTTCGAAAAAAGACAAAAATAACATTACTTGCTGAACAAAAGAATTAACCGCTTGCGTACTCTTACGTAGCACATAGTTCTGTGATTTAGTTCACAAGTACTAACAAAACTCAGGGGTGTTTTTTTGCTGGACGGTGTGGAATTAAAACAGAGTATAAAAATTCAGAACATTTGACTGAACCAAGGATAAATCTGGCAACCCTACCACTAAAATCTACGCAATCATGTAATCGTCACCACACTCATCAAGCAAATTGTCGTAAAAAACAACGTGTAATCAGTTTAAAATACGTTCTATTTGCTACAAGTTTGATGAGAATCCCATTTAACGTATAACGCTTAGGATTTGAGACATGTAAAAAAAATATGTTTTGTATGAATTTATTTTTTTATTTATTTAATTATTTATTTATACAGAGTATGATTAACAAAATTAATTCACAATGTCATTTGCGATTTGTAACATGAAATATCTCTTAAATCGTTCCTCGTAGAAAAAAATGTTTAGAACTTTAGAATCAATTTTGGAGGTAAATTGTATTCCCTTCAAATCTTGAGATAAGGTTCTTCAGCGTTCAATGCTTAGGAACAGTGAATCTACGAGAAAGTATTTTTTGTAACATTTGACGTCTTGCATTTTGAAACGCGCACGTGATATCCATGCGAACTTTTCACCTCTTTTTATAAAACGTCAACAGACAGGTCACGAGGAAACTTCAGCACAAAGGGATTTATTCCGCAGATAAGGCTTTTACTGATCTAACGTTACTCTCCATCTTGGAAATGAGCGAAAAGTTGTTCTATAATTTGTCTTTCTTCCTCTTCTCGCATCTGCTTCAACAACTTCAAAAATCGTTGAGTTGTCGCATCCAGTTGCGCTAAGCCTCTTCGAATATGTTCTAGTCGTTCCCTTACCAGAGCCAGTGACTGTTGATACTGGGCCTAAAGGAACAATGTTTTTCATTAGCACCTGGTGAAACACAGCCGAAGCTCTTCCCACCCCTAATATACTATTTTGAACAGGTGAGACTCTACTTATCTGTTAAAATCGGTTGATGATTGCGGACGCTTCAACTGATATGGTCATTAGTCCCGTAAGAGTAGTGCTTGTTTTGTTGCGGAAGGTGGCGGTGATTTGGATTATCCATAGGGGATTCGACGCCGACTTTCTCGTCGGCTTGCCAGGTTTGCCTCATTCAGGCATCTACCACGAGCGGGGCATCGCCTCAGTCGAGTCAAAAGCTCCCGCCTGGTCTCCGGTGAAGTGTGGTGATATAGTACATGCGTGTGTGTGTGTGTGTGTAAGGGGAGAGAACGGAACTTGGAAAAGGAAGGAAAGATCGCGGGCGGTTGGTGGTTCATTTGTTAGGGTTGTGCTCCGGGATTCGCCTGGTGTTCGTCGAAGAAACCTTGGAAAACCCATCAGAGCAACCGTCCGCTAGAACTCTCCTCCAGACAGCGGCTGAACACGACGTAGGTTTCGAAAATCCTGCCGCCGACGGGACTGGAACCCTAGCACCTCTCGATCCAAGGCCCTGCAGTGATATCCGTTGACAGCCTGAGCTACCATCGCCGATGTGAAGCAGTGTTGCATTGCTACAGTAAATACCTCAACACACTGAAAAAAAATGTGATCATTACCTTGAACAATAACATTTTGGATATGTGTGCCATTCGGCTGCGATGTCTTGCGATGAGCTGAAACAAATCGTGAACGAAGTTCGGACCATTAAACAGTGTCTGAAAAGTTTTGTGGATTTTTCCAGATGCGGTTGCTTGGAAACTGTGGGGGCTAATGTTTTCTACTTTATTTGATGTGTTGTTTCACTTAATATAGTACGAGCGTATACATATGCATACTGGGTTAGTCAATAAAAATGTCCACCTCGAATATTCTCCAAACGGGTGATACTGAGATTAAATTTTCACCAATTAATTAAGGACGTGGAAGCTCATCAGTTGTACTTATTAGCTTTTTCGTAGCAGTTTTTATTTTAAAGATACTGGACTAACTTTGTTTTTAAAAGGAACACTGTACTTTCTGACACGAATAGATAGGCAGTGAGAAGATTCCTTCATCAAAACGACATGTGTTGCTATTTATGAATAATCAAAAACACAGAAGATAATGAAATCCGGCGAAAAGCAGTTTCTCGGAACAATGACGTAGCTAAAAAGATCTATTACTGAATAGTTTTTACGTTATTTAATAAAAATAAAAGTATATTTGCACATGACTTTTTCATAATATATTAAAAAACTGTTTGTAATTCCGAATAATCAAATACAATTTTTAAATAAATAATTATATAATTTCAACTATAAAATTATACAATTGTTGTCACGCCTAATATGGTGATACCCGGGACCGACCGTCCCCTTCCCCTCTCCCTCTCCCTGCCCGTCTCTAATTATGCCACGGCTTTTTACACATTAAAGTATTTTAAATATCAAATATTGAAAAACAGTTTGAAATAATAGAATATCTTAAGCTTTACTATAGTTAGTGAAGGATTCCGTAAAAAAAATTGAACTGATGCGAGTTTTGAAATATCAGACTTTTAAGTTCGGGTGCGCTTGCCTCGCTGTATTAGAAAATGTAATTTTTCTTAATTAAAAAAGTTCGGGTCGGGCTGTAGGGGCGCCGGGCAGAAGAACGGTCACCAAGCCTCAAGGCGCAGGGCAGGGCGGCGACAAAGCCCTCGTATGTTACAACCAGTCAATGTAGTAAAGCTATGTAGGTTCACTTCTTTCCAAAGGAAGTTGAAGACACAGATAAAGAACCATATTAATAGCATCTTGGATCTGCCTCACGAACTACATTATTTCTCTAAATATACTTGACAATTAGAACGCAATAATCTTCTAGACTTCAATAATGTTTCTATTCTTTCGGGAACTTAGAGACTGTACCGGCTGGCTTCTATAATGTTTCTATTCTTACACATAATGCGTGGAGTAGGAGTGAAAAAATTTATTCAATATTGTTTTAGAGCCTCTTCAAGGAAATAAGGGAAAATGTTTGCAATCTGCATCGTACGTGATTTTATTAGGTAGAATAGTAATAGTGTTCTTGCATTCTTTTACCCCTGACAGACAAAGGTTACTCAGGGCATCATCTTCACTGCAAAGCCTCTGACCAGGATGTCCTAGGATTGAGTCCCGACGGTGGAAGGATTTTCGACACTAGCAAAACAACTGAGTTGAGTTCAGCCGCAGAATAGAGGAGAAATTCTAGAAACCGGTACACTGATCGGTAATTTTCCGTGGTTTCTCCGATCAACACCAGGCGAATGCCGGAGCAGTACCCGAACAAACGGGCCACGGACCACGCCCGATATTTCCTTCCTCTTCCTTGTCCTTTCCTCACCCTTTACTTACCCACATTTACACTCACGTGTACTATTCTACCTCCAGTCGGGAGCTTAGAGATTGAACCGGCTGGGGCGGTGCCCTTCTGGTGGGAGATACCTGGAGGAGTGGGAGATACCTGGTTGGAGAAAACCCCGATAGGTAGGCGCCGAATCTCTCTATCCAGTGGGGGGGGCAAGATGACCGCCACATCACAAGTAAAAACATGCACTACACTTACGGGAATAATGACCTTAGCTGACGCACCCAGAAACACTAATCAGTCAATAAACCAATAAATCAATCAATCAATCAATCTTACCTCTGATGTTTCATAGTAATGAGTTCTAACGTCCTCTTCATCCTCATCCATAATCATCCAGTCTCCAGCATACACTGCTTTTACAAGCATGAGAAGAGTTAGGTAGATTACGAGTGACTTCATCCTGAAAATATCACATTAATTCATTTCATGGAAAGGGGAACAACAAAATAATAGTACTGCAACAACATAGCACTGACGTCATCGTTTTATTGGTATCTGTTACGTCATTGAATTGTAAATTATGTAATTCTAATATTTCACCTGGTTGTTTAAAACTTTTTCAATAAACAATCCAGAACACATCCAGAACACCATATCTATTTTGTAGTATCTTCTCAATCTATCCTTTAGAACTGCATTTAATAAGATAATTTGAGCATTTTTAAAACGACATTGTATACATGGCCAAAAGTGTGCTAAACACAACAGAATTTTCACATATCATTGGCATTCAACAACATTCTTTGCTTTGACATATTTCTCGAAAATGTCTTAAGCTTGAAAAACATTCATATTCGTTCTCATTTATAAGAAAATATCTCTGAATTAACTAACATTACATCAAGTGTTCTAAATTCTCCCTACACTCTTTTTACAGTAGAATAAAATGTATAGAAACCTCAATTAACGCAATAGTACATTCTTTTAGAAGATTTTTATCAAGAAACACGAACATTTTTTTCAAATGTTTCCTAATTTTGGGACCCATTATAGTTTATTTAATTCAAGGAGGTTTTTCCATTATCATGGAATGCAAAAATCTCTTTTTAATTGGAAAGTTTGGAGTACATTTGGAGCGGCTTTTGAGAAAAATTCCTTGAAGCATATTTCTAAATGTGCCTTTTTTTGTTCATATTACTTTCAAATATGCGATTTAAAGGTTGTAAATGCATTATACCTTGAAATGCATCTTTAATGTACGTAATAATGAAGTTCCGGAGTTTAAAAAAGTATAATTCTTGAAAATTCAAAAATTTAATGAAAATTCCACTTATTTTATAGTGCACTTGTACTATGCTTTATCCTTACAAATCATTTAACGAAAATCTGCGTTTTTTGAGAAAATCTTGTTGATGTATGTTTGAAAAATTACTATGATTTGGCTCAACATTTGTCGTACACAACTAATATTTTGAAATTCCTACACATTAAAGTATTTTAAATATCAAATATTGGAAAATAGTTTGAAATAATATAATATATTTATCTTTACTATTGATGGTAAAGGATTCAGTAAAAAAAATTGAACTGATGCGAGTTTTGAAATATCAGACGTTTTAATGAAAGTCGCACATTAAACGAACTTCGCTCTAAAGCAAAAAACTTACAGAAAAAGTGAAAATTGCAGCAGTTTTTGAGAAAAGTTTGAAAATGTAGAATGTCTTAATCTATTTAAAGTACCCCCAAATAATAAAAGATCCATTTCAGACATGGAGGTCTCTCTGATCAGCCACATCAATTCATTTTTAATAAAATGCAAACGATCAGTTTTGAATAAAATCCTGTGAATGTTTTAGTGTTGTTTACAGATAGACAAATGGACAGATCGTCGGATTTTCAGAGAGACGGACGAACAGACGTTTTGAACAAAGCACTTTTTAAGTATCAGGAACAAGCAAAGTCATTCATTCTGTCAAAATGTCGGCACGGATATTTTTGTATTAATATTTAAAACACTACGGGTTTTCGCTTAGAAAGAAATTTGAGCTTTCTGTTCGCCCAAACCGAGTTGTCTTCTTTGAAAAATGTTGAGATCGTTTATTTTTGAAATGTTCGAAAATGTTCACGGATTTTTTCACGAAAATGAGGTCTTCACGATTTTTAAGCTTTTATTTCTCTATTCGAGAACATATCAACTAGTCATATCTAGTGATGTTAGTATTTATCACATTCATTTTTTTAAATCGCATTTTGAAATCAATTTGAATTGTAAAAAATCAAATGTTGAATTTTGCTGCAGTTATAAAAAAATGGTATAATGCTTTATAGATTTCCACATGTAAATCAGGAAAAAATGAAAATTAATTTAATACTTCGCCATTTGTGTACTTCAACAAATATAAAGGCGTATGAAGTAGGAATAACTTGTGCGCCGTGGGCGAAGGGTCGTCCTCTTCTTCCCATCCCCTCCGTCCTGCGAACTGAGAAAGCTGAGCCCCCTTGAGATGACCCTGAACGTTCGGCCTTTCAGGATCGGATTTTAACTTGCTTTTATTTTCTTATTATTTTTTGTTTTGTCAATTAAATCTTAATTATAAATTAATAAATAAACACGATCAATCTAAATGTTTTCAAACATTGATGTGTTTCCAATGTCACATCCTTAATTAGAGAGAGAATACGAAGAAAACCATAAAATTCATTTTAACTGTTATTTCGAAGATTCACGACCATTTTGCACTTTGTTCGTGATTTCTTATTTTGCGATCGTTTTCGCATTTTATCGAAGATTGAAAATCCTCAGACATATACTGCACCAACCATCGTACGCACATACAACTACTGTTTTTTCAATGTTTGGTGACATTACATATTTATAGCGATTGCTGAAATCTACCATCTCTGCTCATATTAATAACTCGGTTGCACCACAAATACAAAACCGATTACCGACAAAAACTATCACCATCAATTCTCCACATCACATGAAACCTGTAACATAAAAAAATATAATAAGAAGGACTCGGATCCTGCAGTGTCTTTCCTACATGTTATCTTTCCATTGGTGCATTCTAGACGTAGCTAACTTGTAAATAAATATTTATCACGACATTTGGGTGATAGGTATGTATAGTTGTTGGGTCGTTTTTTTGTCATTTTTGATATGTTTAAATTATTACGTAATTTTTCAACTTTTGCGTCATTTTTATGCATTTTGTTTCCTTGTCGTATTTGTTGTTGGTGATTTATGAATCACTAAAACAAAGTTTTGATTGCATCAGTTTACAACTGCAGTGGACTCTTTGTTTTTCGAACTCTCAAAATTACACGGATCGTCGGTAACGTCCTTGCCCTTCTGTTTGTTGAGAGATCGGTGCTAAGGATCACATTTCCTCCTAAAATAAATACTTTACATTAAATAAAATTGTATATAAAAAAATTTGTTTAAAATTGTAAAATTCATCGAATAAACTTTCCACGCAAATTTTTAGTATAAAAAAGGCATTTTTTCCTTATTTTTAAGTCATTTTATAGGTAATTTCCAAATACTTCTTGGTCATTCGAATCCGAGCCCTGATAATATCAGAAAAGAGTTACATTCGTACTCACATGAGACACTTCCTGTGACACACTTTGCAATGCGCTGCTTCGTGGGGCTCTGCCTCCTCCACTCTCAGCTACTGCAGGATGTGCGAAATCTCTGGAGCTTTTTTCTTTTTTAAGGAAACCACGCCTTTCAGAATCCAATATCACTTTGAATGACTCAACCGCTTCTGCTCTTCAGAGATAGCATTTGACCTCGTAAGATGTCCAGAGTCTGGGTTCCCAAGAGCACAAATCAGCTTTTTGTGGTTATAAAAATATCATCTTGAACAAAGAAGTGTCTGCAACCCGCCCCTACTCGTCCATCGCTTCTGATATGCGAGGGAAGTTTAACGGACGACAACACAAAAACATCGTATGTTGTCTATAATTTGCATTATTAATTTTTTTCTTTTTTCTAATTTGCAAAACTTGAAAATTTGTACTTTTTATTTGGTTAGGCAGAGAATAAGTTTCTTTTTTTAAACTATTCAGATTGATCCAGAGTGGTCGTGTTGTACCTATATACGAAAATCCCCTGACGAGTCATGTCTGTCTTTCCTCTGGCCTGAAGGTCGTCCGGGGTGAGTCCCGACGTTGGCAGGTTTTTCAACTCTAGCTACTTAGCTAGGTCGAATTCAGCCGCTGTCTGGAGGAGAATTCTATCGGCCGGCTGCTCCGTTGGGTAGATTTCCAAGATTTCTCCGATCAACACCAGATGAATGCCGAAGCAGTAGCCTAACAAAGGACACGATTTCGGCCGAGATTTTTTCTTCCTTTTTCTTGGTCCTGTCCTGTCCCTTTACTAACATGCACTACACTTTTACACATGTCGGTGTATCATACGAGAGTTTAGACCCTGTTCCGACTGAAGCAGTGTCACGTTGGTAGGAGATACTCGACAAGAGAAAATAAACTAGACCACGTGTAGGTCGGCACCAAATATCACCATCCAGCGAGAGAAGAACACGACATCTCCCGTGATAAGAACAGGCACTACATTTACGGGTCTGATGATCATAACAGTTGAAAACACGAAATAAGCAAGCAAGCTGAAAATGACCTGTGACCACTATCTAGGAAAAGGGTTCTTCAACTGTCAGTGACGCGTGTGCTTTCACATTCCTCAAAAGGCGTCTTTTGCTCTTACCGGGGCAATGAACCCAATGCTTTATAAGTTCCTTTACTTCCTCTGTTCTGTATGTGATTTGAAACATCCGGAAAAGAGAGGGGGACACGATCGTCCATTCGGGACCTTCAGTACAAAAAGTTTAAGGCGTAACGAAGCTGGCGATTCGATGACAGTGCCCCCTTCTCCTGCTAGCTCGTGACCTTGAAGGGACTTTCTATTCTAATAGGAGTATAAGCCACACTCCATCATATATAGCAGTAATGAGATGCATGATGATGTTAACCTTGTTGGAATTATTTCTCTCAGCTACTAAAGTGTGTGTGATGATAGGTCGTATTATTCATTTGATTGCGCTGTGATTCGTATTACTATAATATGAATCACAATAGCTAGTACATAGTTTGTCGCCTTACAATCATAGTGGTGGCCACGACGTGATCCAAAAGCGAATTACGTACGACAAGTATTACATCAATATGAGAAGGCAGAATCGAATTGAATTGAATCGATGCCTTATTTAACGTGGTGTGACTCGAGCCATCAGGCCCGCTCTTCCGTCTGACCACGCAAATTTCGCTACTCTCCTTTCACCAACTAGCAGAGAAAGGAGGTATTTTTGGGCGACGAAACAGGCGATTTCAATTTAGCTCAGAGGCGTCATTTAGGCTTGAGGGTCTTTTACATGCAAGTAAATCTACTAACATGAGACAGCTGGCTTTACTTCCCCTCCGAAGGAAGAAGTAGGAAGGTTTTTTCGCCCTTAAAAAAAACAACGGCGTCGATCGGGCTTGAACGCGCCAATTTGTATATAACAGTCCGATTCGCTAACCGTTAATCCAAAATGCCCGTTTTGGTGGGAGAGTCCGAAATTATTGTTTCCGCAATTTAGGATACTGTTTTTCTCGCATTTTTTGTGGATGTACGTACAAATATTCAAACGTGTTGTCGGCTTTATCCAAATGAAGTACACGACATAATTAGTCAACGTTCTTCCGTAAATTCTTATAAATAGCATAAGAGAGAATGAGTAGACTGGGCGATTATCAGGGTCCAAAAGTTAAAAATTCAAACAAGTCCTTTTAGAATAACAGAGAGACAAAATTCGGACGCAGTTTTTAGAATTACTTGTCATGTCTTCTACTACGGTTGTTGGAGAGCAGTTACTCAAAATGTTGTAACCTCCGAACCGTATATTTCTGTCAACAACTCGACATTGGTCTTTAGCAGCTTCGCAAATTATTATTACAGCATTATTATTTAGCTGAACAAAAAAGTAAACATTGGCTTACTTCGTTAAATCCGCACTTTTTATTGTTACATTTAAGAAGTTGATACAAGCCAAATTTAAAGGAAACTATTTCAAAATATGTGTATCCTAAGTCTTAAAGTTTCACAAATTGATCATAAAACTTGTCATGATGCCACAAAAGATATAAGTTATTTAAAAAAAGGCAAAAAAATCTTGAAAGAGACGAAATTCCAAACTCTCCGCAGCTATTTACACCACACCACGCTCTTCCTAATAATCACTTTCAATGACGCAACTTTCCAGCAATTCCAGAAAGATAACACTTGACCTCGTAAGATGTTCAGAGTCTAATTTCGCTAGAACGTAAATAAGCTGAGGTTATGAAATACAAAGAAGTGTAAGCATCGCTCTATAATAGAAAGAGTAAATCGAATTTGTTTTAAATCTTAAGAAATTCGTTCTTTTTCCTCGTATGTGTGGGAAGGTGAGTGGACAAAGTCCCCAAAATTGGATATAGTGCTTTTAAATTGAATGATTAATTAAAAGATTTTTTTTCCAAATTCGTATGACCACGAATCTATCTACCTCGATCGTATAATATTGTATATAATGAATATATCCATATCCGAAAATATCTAATGTACGTATTGTGTAGTGCGCAGCCTACAATACCAAGCAGGGGTTGGGGCAAGTACATTTCTATCTGAGCCCACTTTTCAGATGTTTTTTTAAAATTTGTGTACGTCATTTTAAATGAACAAAAAAATATACTAGAAAGAGAATTAAATTATAACTTAGAAGTTCAAATGATTTCATGTTGAAGTATTTACAGGGTTGCTAGGCCTCAAGAACCCCTTCTCCATTTGCCTGTAACAAATTCCGTAATTCACTGAGTTTGACAAATTAATTTTAACTAGAGATGATGCAGTGGTCGAAATTTGACCTTGATTAATTAATTTTAAAATTTTAAACGTTATTGAGGTTCTTTTCTCAAAGAGTAAGCCTGTATAAATACTGCACATATTTGTTTTTCATTTTCTCCTGTTATGTCATATGCGAGCGTGTACAAACACATTAGCATATATTGCTTGCCTTAATTCCCTGTAATGCTTACGAAATTTGAAAACAAATGAAAACTTACCTATGATAACTAGGCTTCTCGGCCCTCCCTCTTGGCTGAGAAATATAACAGAATCTGATCTCGTGACAGCCATCAACAGAGCCAAGTGTTCAGAAGTCGAATATATTGTATCCAGTACCCTTTTTTACGTGTAATGTTATATTAAGTGAAAAATAACATCACTACGAACTTTTGTAAAAACTAATATCGTCTACGTACGAAAATTATTCCAATTATTATTATTATTATTATTATTATTATTATTATTATTATTATTATTAATGTTGTTAATAATTAATTGCTTTTCACGCACACAAATGCAAATATAGAGTCAAGTATTTTTTTCTTTTAAACGTTTAGCTTGGAATAAAACGTTTCAGAATCTAGGTTATTCGAAGATTTAGAGCATGGAAAACAAAGTAATGTTCCCTACGGTGCTGTAAAATCAGGTTTTAAGGCTCTGAAAAGCAGTTTCCGAGTTATGTACGATAGCAACGATTACAGCGTGTTGCGGGTTGCATCTGTACTCTATATAATTTTATGTTATTTAATATACTTGTAGTTCTTATTATACTGTGTCGTTTACCTCTTGCCTTATGCGCATATACATTCCATTGAGTGTTAATGGAATTGTTACAATTCTACTCTCAATCTTTTGATTCTGCTTGGTAAAAAAGGCGTAAGTAGTATATGGAGTAAGTTCGTTTCTATGATAAATGTCAAAAATCATCTCAAGGGCGAAATGAAAAAAAAAACATGGACTTAGTTTCATTCAATAACCACTTATTCATATAAATTTTATTTTTCTACACTCCTGCATATAAACTTTATCAATGCCAAATCTCACCCTCCTCCGTGCGCGCAATAAGCGTAAAAAGAGGTCTAATGTTTTCTCTTCACGTATCAATATTCGTCACAATACTAACATACTCGTGCGACAACTCTCGCTTGTTAAGTCTCACCCTCTTCCCTATCCTTCTACTTCCGTATTAAGTGAAAAAGTTGTTAACGAAACGTGTTTATGTGTTTAAAAAAATGTAAACATGTAACCTCCAATGTACTTACAGAATATCAAATGAAAATTTAAAGAAACGATGTAACTGATGTTTGAAACAAATTTTCAATAAAGGTTAATTAAGTAGCATAGACAGATGTTCTTGGGACAACTCACAACTCTTCCTTAAAAAATTTCAAAAATTAAAAACCTTTTTAGTTATACAATTTTCCTAGACAGCTTTTATCTTTCCTTGATAGTCACAAAAACATTAGAAAATATTTTTATTCGTGAGAAAGTTACGTAAAGGATAAGACAGCGAAAAGAGTCCCCAAACCTCCTCGATAATCGCGTTGCATAAGCATGAAGGAGAAGTAGATTCCCCGAAATATCAGCTTTCTGGGGCGTTTTATTGCAGAGATACAAGAAAGGTGTTTTTCATGTCAATTTTGATATGCAATTAAAATTAACAATATTTCATTTCCTTTCGTGATAA